TGTATTAAATTTTCAAGATCTTCTACCCAAAAAATACATTTTTATCGATATTAATTTTAAAAAAAAAACTAATAATGATCAAAAATTGTATATGTCTATGAATAGTTCAACTTAAGTCGAACATTGAAGTCAAAAATCGAAGCACTTTTACTGCTCCAAAACGTGATGACAGACAAAAAAAAAATAAAATAAAATCACACATCATGGTAAAATCAATACATTCATCGTTCCGCTCAGAATCTAAAATAATCCGATATTATAATAAACATATGTGTTATTTAATATTATGATTTAAATTTGTTGTTCCATATAAAAAATAATAATATTTTTTAAATTATTAATTGAGATTTTTACCTTCAGTTTAAATATTTAATTATCATGAACAGTAAAATAGATACACAATACACTTGTATATTTCGCTAAAAGTTCAATAACTATTGTTTATTATAATTTAAGAAATTAGAAAGAACGCAGTAACTTTTCGTATAATCCACATACTAGTTTTAAAAAAAATAATAAACTTTTTTTAAACTGATTTAATTTAAATTTTTTCCATACAAGCTTTTAATTTATCGAGTTACGCTTATGATTTGTTAATTGTTAACTTTTAACTTATCGAACTTAACTTGAGTTGATTATTTTCAACAACTTTCCCACCTTTATCTAAACGAAACCAAACTTATGTTTGGTTGGCGTTTATGGCATATATATTTTATATAATATATTAAGCCTTTGCACCATATGAATAATAATAATATATTATTATAATGATTCTCATTCTTGGCTCGTGGGTACTAGGTATGCTGGTATACGTATGCAGTTATTACGGTTATCTGGCTAGAATATTCAGTCAATAATCCTTATTCCTTTCACGCRTTTTAGTTATAATATGGACAATGAAATAGGAATAGCACGCATGTGTTACACATGTATTGTTGTTTAGTTACCTATTGCTTTATATGTAGGCGTAATGTTGCATTATAATATTATATTGTGYCGCAGCTGGTAATATTATTATTGCATTTCGTTGTTTGCATTCACAGTCGTATTAAATCGCATARGTAAATAGTTTTATTGTAACGATGTAATAATATATTATAGATTAAAAATATTTATTGCTCAATGTACTCATATTAAAMGTGAAAATTATAAAATTACTTAGGAAAGTTGATTGATTGTTTTTTAAACGTTTTAATTAGTAAAATTATGCACCTATTATAATTATTATTTGCGGTCACTATACAATTAATACATTATGTYGTCAACATTTTTAAATTCTGAAATTGAAAACCTATATTCAAAAACAAAGAGAATTTAATGGGTACCGATACGTTTAGTGTAGATAACTAAACTGACTATAAATTGTTTGATAAACTCTACTGGAAAACTGACACAACATCAATATAGGTACTCAACATAGTATATTTTAACTCGTACTTAATTCGAAATATAATTTTATTTATTTATAATTACAAACAACATTATATTGGTTTATTAGTTTACTACAATATCCTATACATAAACGCAAATAGTGTTTGAAATTTGGGAGGGCTAATAACTTATTTAGTACCAATTCTTATCARACATTTCCCACCAATTTACCCGTTGATAACATGTAGTTCTCGATGCACCAATCGAATCATTCGTGATGCGCRAAAAGTGATATKTCTTTCCAATGTATTATGTTGTAAAATCATAATATTTTTGTGGGGCTATAGCTAGTAATTCTAGAGGGRGCTAACAGCCACCCTCTATTTGCACCTATGATCGTATAAGACACAGCAGTATGCAACACGCCAATACCTAAGACCTAATGCGCACATTGCAGTGCATCACATATAAATACTGCACAATAAATCGAATTATTTAATATTAGTGACTCTGCAGTAGTGTGATATTAATAATGTTTGATCGCTATTCAGAATATTCAGATAATCGATATTAAATCTTTAAGAACGGGTGCCCTCCAATAATAATAATAATAATAATAATAATAATAATAATAATGACCATTTGCAATGTTAAACGAAATAATATGGGTAACATTTGATATCTAAAACACGGTCAAAGATCAAGATTCAAGACACCATAAATTAAGATTTATATCAGTTGTAATACCGAAAAAAATAGATTGCGAGAGCCATATAATAATAAATACACGTGTTCTTTATTTTTAAGTTTAATATTCCACGAGAGGGCGGTACATAAGAGTTTTTTTTTTTTTAATACTCAACTATTCGGGCAACAAATCCTGTTTTTTGTAAACCRTTATAATATGTACTACAATATGTAACAACTATTGCCTACTAATAATACAAATTATTTAGCTGAGTAGCAACCACAAACCACAATAATCCGTAAATGTTGGTTTTCGCATATTGTTACTTATTATTATTTTTTTTAGCGCCATTGGGTTTCATTAAAAAATTAATATTAATAAATAACTTGTTCTGGAACTAACCAGTGGCTAAATACGTTTAGGTACCCCCACATATGATATTGCGACGTTATTAGGCCAAGTAAGGTTGAGTACCTACTTAAAACGCTAAAAACTGTTAACAATGTTAATAGTGAAAACGTGGTTAATTATTTCGATACAGACAGAAAAAAAAACGTGTTGGTAAATGAGTAAAATTGTGTAATCATCGTTTGTTAAATCGTTTTAAAATATTACAATTTCTCAAGTCTTATTATAACATATTATACAGATATTATCCAATTTCCAATAACCAATGACCGACCTATTATGGTATTTCCTGAGGTATTTTTATTTAACTTTTTAGACTAAAACTGTTATTAAAAAATTCACTGCAGATTCGTGAAATAATGATTCTGGCCCAGTCAGACAAAATGCGATTTATATGATCTATAAATTGATTTCAATCTACAATATCTTGGTCAGTATTTGCGTAAATTTTACATCAAGTGTTATTTGTTTTTATTTAGATTATAAGTCATTAGAGGAGAAGAATAACACAAACATAAAATACGTAGAACTTTTTARTAATGGGAATTTAAATATGGGTATATTGAAATTATTATTTTGATATGAAATGTTCATTATAATTATTGACAATGAYAAAGTTGATCTGTATACATTTTATTTTTTACTAAGTAATCATAATTATTATTTCATTGTTCATATTTTGTTTAAAGTGTAAGTAATCAATATATTACTATGGATGATCATGATTGATGTATTGAAATATTATTTAAAACACTTAATGATAAGCTTCTCACATCCCAAACCTGTTATACAATTCATTGCATCTAAGTTTAAAAACATAACTTATAATTGCCTACTAAAAATCAGGTTGGCAAAAGACATATTTATGTGTAGATATTGTTACAAAATGAATATAATTTTTCCACTTTTCTAATTACATGATTTAAATCACTTTTTATTATAAAGCCTATATTATTAAATGGTTAATATAAAATACCGTTCGAGCAGTAACGATTCCTATATTGGCTAGAATTGGATGGAAGATAGAAGCGCAAAAACGAGATAATCAAAAAATAAATCGTATATWTTACTAAAAGGTTAAAACCCTAGAGACACCTAGCAAATATATTATAATATAATTACTATAGAGCGTCGGAGTTTTTGTGTTATTATAACTCATAAMATTACATTATTGATATGTACTTAGTACTCATTCATGTAAACTATATCAAAAAATAATTTTACAACTATGWATAAAGGCATTTTTTAATTTATACATTTTTAAGCGAACTGGTCAGTTGGCGCATACTTACATTTTAAAAATAATATAAGAACATTGATTCTGACACACATATAATCATAAATTTATACTGAAATTCCGGACAAAGGATATGATACGAACAAAAATTACATCTGAATAAAATTATTGGCATTTTAAAGACCAATTTTTAGTTGCTCATTACTCAGTTAATTTTATAGTAATAATTAATGTCTTACTAAAATCATAAAATGAAAAATTACTTATTTATGAATTCTCCTACTTCAAACTTGAAACTATATGTATTTTAACTATGCAGTTTCAATATTTTCACATTTTTGAATAACCATAAGATTTCCTTAATTTCCTATAGATGAAATTAAATTTGAACTATTCCATACACAATATAAATTTGGATGTATAGTTTCAGTTATTTTATATTTAACCATAATAAATAAATATAGGTCGATATATCTGGAGATGCTTACTTAAATGTATTAATTCATAATCAAATAATAATTTCTGAATAGACATACAAACTTTTAAATATTTAAATCTGTCTTATGGTATTCAAGTAAGTTACCCAAATGTTTGTATATAATATTATTCTTTATAATTTATAGTGCATTAGTGTATTACTTTACAAATAACGTCTAGCATATTATAATATTATTAGATTTAAATAAATAACCAACTATTCTCTCCAAGCACTAAGATTCAACACTGTTAATTTTTTTTGACATTTTATCATTTTTGAATATCTGTAACAAACAATAATTAACAATCGGTTTAATACATATAATAATAATATAAATATAAATAAATTACGTGTACTACGCACCRTAGATGAAGTATTAGATAAAGAATTTTAAAATTAAAAATAAAAWTTTTATAAAATGCTAAAAAGTTAATTAATGATAATCACGAATATAAATACACAGCTGATAATACAACGTTATAGTATAATGACCCGTAAGTGTCAAAGAGATTGAAACCCCATCGAATATTATTACAAATTTTAATTTTCACAGCAAACAAAATTGTAACAAAATGATTTATTACCATAAAAAGATTTATTTTGGATGGAAAAAATGAAAAAATTTGTTTATCCTCACCACATTCCCCAAATAAAAAAAAAATCCTAGTTACATTTTTCTTGGATGAATCACTGATATTTAAAATATAGTTTGTACACTAGTTATAACTTATAATATACTAATATAATTCATAAACAGTTGCGTGGTAAACATTTATAATTTACAAACCATCATGCACAGCATATATTTTAGTACCAATACATACAAGAATATAATAGAACATTTAAATACGAAAAATTAAAATATCTAACGGTGAAACATTAAATTAACGTGTTGTTTGTAAAGAGAAGGTGACACTCTTATACAGCCCGTAATCCAGCAAGAAAATTATACGCTCTATTGAAAAAATATAACTTAATTGTTATTTAAAAAAAGAGGACATAATTATCGAATAAAACACCTTCATGATCGTTTTTGTTGCGAGTACATTATGATACCTTGAAAATGAACCAAGGGTTAATATATTGTACGAGTTATTCAAAAAAAAAAAAGCGTCTTTAAAAGAAGAACAAATGGCCGTTGCAGGCTTGCAGCGTAGTCAAAAAATAAAAGCTCAATAAAAAAAAGGACCATGCCAGAATACATTTCTTTCTGTAGGTACCTAAAYAGACATAGTATAGTAGTTACCTATACATAATACAACTAAAAATAAATATTTACTTTGAGGATTTGAAAATATTCATTGGTACTTCGTCCAATTCAGTCGTGGCACATAATACGTGGCCTAGGTCAATGTTTCTTAAAGTTCTCAATTGTGCTAACATAATAAAGAATTAATGTACAATTTATTATGTTTGATATTCATAAATATTAAACCATAGACATAAAAAAAAAATACCAACAACAATAAATCGTCTCTACACATACCTAGAGAATAGCTTCCCGGTTGACCCCTCACATCAAAGAAGAAACGATCGCCGAATCGATTACGGTAAAATACATCAGCTAGTATACACTGTGCAGTTTGACCAACCGTTCCACCATCGACTGGTGGTTCGAGTAAAGCTCCCACGAGTAGATCAATGTCATAGACGGTAGCGTACTGTTCTTTCAGTRATTCGACGTCCTATGACCATGATAAATATAATTGATWACAAAYCAATACAATTTTAGAGTTCAGTTAATATCAAGTAGGTATTCTATAACACATTGACGTACGATGTAAATCATCTGACACTACATTGATTAAAAATCATTTAAGTATSATGAAAAAAAGCTTTTGGTATTAAAATTCTGCATGGAGTTTTAACCTTCAGTTTTATGTGATTTAATAATGTTTTTTTTTAATATTCGTCTAATAACAGTATAGCTATTTGTTTAAAAAATTATAAGAGAACCAAATTTTTAATTTTCATGTATTCATACTTATTATTGATTGAGAGCAAAATAATTCATTTTTGACAGTAAAAATATCGACTCACGTATTTTGGTATGATATTTAATAAATCGTTAAATGAATTAACTTCTGGAAAACCACACAGTTTTCTTACAACAGTATAGGATGGTACGCCGACGTCGCGACCTCTTTGAATATCAACTGATAGCAAATCTTGGTTACCAGTGAGGTGTGTGTTGAACATTAAATTTGATATCTATAACATGTTTAAATCTTTATGATACAAATAAAAATGTTAATAAATAACTTAAATTTATGAAAAATGTAAATGTTTTTTTCTTATCTATTGAACTATTTAATAGCTGAATCATAGCTTATCCCGAACATTATAAACGTTAGATTTTTTTCGCATTGGTCATTGAAAAGATTTTATTAGTCTCTGTAAATGTATTTTCACTTGAAAGGGATAAAGTATGTCTCATATAGCTACCAGTTAACTAAGAATTTTTCACGTGAGTAGATCGCGTGTTTTCGATCACTGATAGATATAAATTCATTAGTGTTAAATTTCAAACAGCAAAGTTTATTATAAATATGTTATATATATATATTATATATATATATCTTATATTAGGTATATTAATGGTTATTAAAATAACTTAAATTTATAAAGTTTCAATAATTCACAAATAAACAAATATTCGACCACATTATTGTAGCATTTTCAAATTGTTCGTGCCGAGGGTAGTTGTTAACATTGCCCCGCTCTCCTATTRATTTCAACCCTGATTATTGTATTTTTATATCGATTTATATTAGTTTATTTAATTTTGATATGATAAAACAGCTTGTACTAAATTTATATTTTTTTAATAAGTATGTGAAAGGAAAATATTCACAAATTGTACTCACAAAATAGTTATATGATGGTGTAAATAAACGGCCTGCTGATGTAGCCATGCCTCTAACTATTTGATCAAAGTTATCACCCCTAACTAAGGGGTCGGGTTTTGACATCCATTGGTGAAATTTAACTGAATCCACTACTTCATAATTTTTATTTATGTATCTGTTAATATAATGATTATAAATTATAATATACTTTCAACATAACTACATAACTAGRTAAGGCTTACTCGTATGTCGAAGGCAGCGTATTATGTGGCACTCGGAAAGCACCTCCTGCAAATTCTATGGTCAATTGTGGCATGATTGAAGGGTTGTATCGTGTTCTTCTTCTCCTACTAATATCTAAACCAACGCGTTTTGTGAATGATTTACCTGAGCATAGATTATAAAAAAAAAATTAATTTTCGTTTTATATTTTAAATAGCAATAGTTAAATTATACACAATATTCATTATACATAACAATATAATTGATTATTTGTATACAATGGTTATACTTATATTACACGGATCACTTTTAATTTGATTAATTAGATTTTTTTTTATTAAAGTATCATAGCTACATTGTTAAAGAAACCCTAAGAAACATATGATTATTATTATTAACGAATGAATAAAATCTCAAATTTAGCTTAAAACAAAATCGTTTTCTTGTGTCAATGATTTGTCTTTCTCTTAAATTTAGAATATTTCCAATAAAAAAAAGAAAATACCAAGTAGAATGGGCAGGTAATCCCGGTAAACAATTATCTGGTTTAGTGCGCCAACAAACTTTCTAGCTTCTTGATACAACATTTCATCAGACCATTGAGGATTTATTTCTCGTAACTTATCAGCCACAATATTATGAAACCGCGTAAACATTGTCGTATACGCTGTGAGCCCAAAATGTTGGTTTAATCTTGGATCTCCTACAAATAAATATGAGTAATTTATTTTAAACATGCACGATAGTATATAATATTTTAATTATTCTAATTAATATATTCAATTATAATCACATATAAAACTTCAAAAATTCTAATTAAACAACACTTTATTAAAAATAAGTATTCAAATTTAAAGATACCTTTTCAAAAATTAAAGTAATTAATAATAAAATACTGATTAAATCGATGTAAGTGAAACAAAATCAGAAGTCATCACTTATAGACTATAGATGTCTGACATCTGATCACCTACACAAAATTATATCGTAAGAGTATATTTTTGAAATATCATGAAATTTGAAGCAATAAATTAAATGTATACTTTAACTACGTCAAAAACGAATTCGATGAGATACATCATCATCAAGTTATAACAAAAATTTTACATCAAACTTATAATAATAATAATAATTATTATTAATTGGATTGATAATAAAATAGAAAATATAGTTATTCTAACGCAAATATATTACCAGCTTCAAAACAAACGCCCACGTTATCCCGATCATCACATAATAATGATCCATRTCTTTTTTTTTGAGGACAAAACTCGTGTCCATTTATGATATCTGTTTTCAATTTTCCTCCATCAAACAATCTAATTGATGCTGCCGTGTCTGGTTTGTGTCCGTACAATTGGGACGCGTCAAAGAATGAGGTCGCCTGATTCATCTGCAAAATAATATTATCAAATATAGGTACTTTTAATATTGTAGAAAAATTGTCTTTTAGTAATAATTAAAATTATTCTTACTATAAATTGTACTAATAAGATATATCAATCTTACTATTGTTATAAAAWTACTGATAACAATTAAAACTCATTCTCTCTTTATGTTATGTGAAATAAAATATATAGTATGTTGTGCAGTGTCTAATTAAATTTATAAATCTCGTTGATTTATTATAGGATTTGTTGTAATCTGATTTAGTTTTCTTTAAACAGTATACGTGTCAATCAATTCTACGTCAATCATCTGATCTAAATATTGATTTTTCAGACATTTAGAAGAGCGAAAAAATCATATAAATTCACTGGTTTCTCTYAAAAGTCGGTACACACGTTTCAGCTAGTTTGGTTGCATTTCCTCCTATCAAGGAGTAATATTGCTTACATTTTCGTTTTTTCATTTAATATGGAACCTACAAACTCTTCTAAAACTACTCACTCTCAAATTGTTACCCACTCTATTTCTTTTATTTTCTACTTAGCTAACAAAAGTACCTATCACAATCCCAAATTGGCTGAGTTCAAAAAAGATATAAATCAGTTATCCTCCCAGATAATACATTTTAAAGTGAGAATGGTGTTCTTAGATATACTATCATCACTGTCCTCAATAAGCGTTTCCAAACMCTGGAATCCACAAGTAGTTCTCACCATACACCTACATCTAACATTGTTCCAACACTTATRCAATAAGATATATTATCAAAAATTAAAAGATTATCGCATAACATTATTCGTAGTGTTTCTGAATCATTTTTCGGTTATTTCAGTGGATAAAATGTCTATTGATAAGCTTAAAATATTATCTATAAAGCCATCCTCTTTTATTTTCCTGCTCTTCTCAACAGCCTAAAATCTATTAGGCTATGAAAGCCCAGTGAATTTGGAACTCAGCGTATTGTCATTTGCAAAGCACAATACTAGACATTTTACGTACAACATTGTCTTCGTTCCCTCCGGTGTTATTATAATTTTTAAAGACCTAGATATTCAGTAAGAACCAACAATCCAAAATTGTTTACATTTTAAGTTTTAAACGTATATGCTATGTATTTACGATGATATTGTAGTTAATCTTTGTCTTGAATTCATGCCCAAATGAATTTGGCTTCAATAAAATAAATTAAGTGTTAAAAATTAATACTCACTGGAGTTTGAGGAGTTATTAAACAGTTAAAATTATTAGCAGCAGTCATTGCACGTCTAAATTCCATGCATGTTTGTCCATAACGACTAAGAATATTGTCATTTGTAGGTATTTCAATAGCTAATTGACATTGGTATGGGCTATTACTGTTGATCTCATTAATCGGAACGGAACAACATCTCTCTGGCCCTATTCAAATTATCAACAACAAATTTATCGGTACCTAAATTATGTTTTATATGTTGACATATTGCGTAAGTAAACTAATCAAGCTAAATGGTAAAATATACGTTTTATTTTACACACGTCTCA